ACTCTTCCGTCTGTTCGACGAAGGTCTGGAAGGCAAGATCATGCTCGACGGTCGGGACACAAGCACTGTAGGCTTTAGCGAGCTGCGCTCCAAGATCTCCATTATACCGCAAGAACCGGTGCTCTTCTCCGAGAGTCTGCGTTATAATCTGGATCCGTTCAATCAGTACGACGACATGAAACTGTGGGAGGTGCTGCGGCTGGTCGAGCTGAACGATGTTCCGTTGGACCACAACGTCTTTCATGGCGGACACAACTTCAGTGTCGGCCAGAAGCAGCTGATATGCTTAGCCAGAGTCATTCTCAGGAACAATCGCTTGCTCATTCTTGATGAGGCTACGGCTAATATTGATTCGCAGTAAGTTTCTTTAGTAGTAGAATATAAATATTTTTAGTGAAAGCAGATGATTTTCATTTATTAGTTGATAATGAATTGGAATAATTTATCATATATGAACAAATCAAATTTTTTATTATTTTATTATTAATTTTTTAAATGATTTGATATTTTTATTATTTGGAGAAGTTTAATGAATATTCATGTTGTAATATAAGATTTTAGAAAAAAGCAGATCTTTTCAAATTGGTTCAAATCTGATTTTTAGTAATATATGTATATTTTGTATCTGTAAGACCCTGCCATGAACGCATAATTTCTGAATTTATTATATTTGTGAATTTGTTCTAAGTTTGTACTTCTGTTTTTAGCACTGATGCCTTAGCTCAGAATACAATAAGGAACAATTTTAAAGAATGCACTGTCATCACGGTAGCGCATCGTTTAAATACTATTATAGACAGTGATCGGATTATCGTGATGGACAACGGTTCCATCGTGGTAAGTTTTTCTGTTTTACCGAAGCATGAATATGTTCAAAAAAAATACATCGAATTTAGGAATCAGAATTAAATATACAATTTTTTATGTAATTGTGTATGTAATTTATTCATAATACTTTTAATTGATAGCGTAAAATATTCCATCTTTGGAATAGGAGAATGATTATACATTTTAAAATAAAGAAGGATGGTTGTCATCTCAAATGGACATTCTATATTTAAATTTTTATAATTACAATTTTCAAAAAGTTAAAATAAAACAAATAAAGTTATAGTGCGAAATGCAACAAAGAAAAAAAATTTTGTTTGATTTTCAAACAATTTTCTTTAATAATTAATAACGTCGTTTCTATCAATATTTTGTTGTACAATATAACATATTTCTTCCTGAAAATAATCAATGATACATGTATTTATCAAAAAGAATCAAATTTTTTTGAGAAATGTTATAATTTTCTCAGGGAGAGTTCTCGATATTTTTGAGTGTGAGTTTAATTATCATAACAGGAATTCGGTTGCCCATTCGAGCTGTTGCATAACAAATTGGACGGGTATTTTTCACAAATGGTGAAGAAGACGGGTAATCAGATGGTCCAAATTCTTTTGGAACAGGCGAAGAAGACTTGCGAGAAGAATAACAATCATTGTGAATTGCGTTTAGCGATGCAAAATACCGAGAGTGAAAGAGATGCCATGATAACAGAACAGTCTGTTTTGTAGATTTTAGTACCAATAAAATTTTACAATAAAATATACATGTACAGGGTGTCCGGTATTATTGGCAATGCGCTATTGTAAAAGTATAGCTGATTAAACTGAAGAGAAATATTTTAATGCTATCTGAGATAACATACAGATTAATATCTGAGAT